TTGAAAGATCCTGGCTAGAGCAGGCTCCTGGAGCCCCATAATGTGAGGGGGACATTAACCACTTAGTTGCTGAATGGTGGGAAGGTCTGGGGGCTCTAGGTAGTGGCCAGGTTAACAGAGAGGGCCACTCTGGTACTCAGAGCTGCAATTCTTTACCAACTGGTCAGCAGGTATATTTAACCAGTTTAATAGCCAGGACTGGTGTGCGGGTGCAGGCTCACCGAATGTCCCCCCACCTGTTCTCAGACACTTGGCCCCAGGGTACAGGAAGGGAGGCCTCTGGCCTCGGAAATAATGTGAATTTAAAGATTGCCCTGACCGCCCCTGGCCAGTCACCCGAGGCCTGTGCTGTGTCCTGCCCTGGGGATTCCATTGGCAGCTTTGCTCTCAGCAACTGACAGGCTTGTGGCCGAGGATTAGTCGTTGGCAGAGGTACTGAGCCCTCACTGTGTGTTTGAAGACTTTCTGGGTCTCATGGAGGTTACATTGAGACCCCTTTTTCTTGGGAGCTGGGCAGACAGAAATCACCCAGAAAGCCCCTGGTGAGGCTGAGGACTAGGCGTCAGACAGGGGTTAGTTCCTCCACCATTTCCATGGCCTCCCCATTTCCTCCGTTAAAAAAACATCTATGGATGCTTAGGTGGATGTAGTGGAGGAAGCAGTTAAAGATCTTAATGGACATGTTATTTTCTTAACTGGTTTGAGAGTATCCTAACCCTTGGTTCTGGATGTGAGGCCAGCTATGCGGACACTTGTCTATCTTAGGGTTTGGTTAACTGTCTCCTTTTCCCTGCCCAGCTCATGCCAGGAAGAAGTGTCATTCCTGGTACAGGCTGGGAGCTAAAGACAGACGGGTCTAATTCTTACCACAGCCTGTACCCCAGGAATAAGGTTGGCAGATCTTGAACCAGGGGTTCTGGAGGTGCCCTCTGGGGATTTTCCTGGCTGGATTTTTTGCCAGGTAAGTGGCAGGAAGGGCTAATAGCTCCATATCAGCAGCTCCCCTGCCCCAAATCGACCAGCCCTGCTCTGCTGGCCCTTCTCCCTCCCTCTTCTGACCTGTGACTAACTTTTGGGAAAAGGATGAAGGTGCTGAGTGTGTGCCCACACAGGAGCAGAAGGGATTGCAGTTCAAGGGGTGGCCCTTCTATGGGACCTGCTGCCCCGCCCAAGGCCCCTCACAGCCACTGGCCTCCCCGGGAAAGGGTGGCAGCCGCCTGTTTAGTGCCACTGTTTTCATAAGCTAATGAGGACAGAGTGTGAGCCACAGGCAATGATGCTGGATATTAACTGTGACAGGAAGCTTGATCATAATTATCTTAACGAGGATAGGGTTAATTACAGTGGAAACTTAAAAGTTCTCTCTGTTTGAATCTGCTGGAGCTGAATGCGTTGTGATGTTTTGTCATCTCGATATGACTTTGGAAGAGGCTCTGGGACCCTCCGGCAGCCGCGGCGGCTCCTGGGGGAGCCCAGCCAGGGCCCTGCACGTGGATCGCTGAGGGGGCACCTGTGGGTGAGACAATGGGCAGCTTTCCTGCTGGGGGAGCGGGAGGCGCACAGCCTGCAAGGCGCTTCTGGGCATCTGATTAGATTTCTCGAGCAAACCACCTGCCACCCAAACCAGACCGCACACGTCTCCCTGTGCCCTCAGCGTCTCCTGACTGGGCTGGGAAGCTCTCTCTCCAGCTGGCTGTGCCCAGGTAGCAGCTAAAGCCTTGCCCTCCCCCTCCTGCCCCTTGCCAGGGCAGACAGATCTGCCTCTCCTTCCCAGCTCCCCGCCTCCCCCGCTTCAGACATCAGCAGCCACTGCCAACTAAGCTGGTGAGTAACCCTGGAGTGACAGCCACCCCTTCCACCAGGGTCTGGGGTACACTTTGCTGTCCACACACAGGGTTAGAGCAGAGAAATTACAGTGCTGCCATCTATTCCTTGTAACTACCGTCACTATCCCACGAAGCAGCATAGATCTGTGGCTCCTTGAAGCCCTGTAGCCTTGTCATTTTACGGAAGGGCACATATCTGTTTGCAGGCATCTTGTGTACAGGGGTATCAGATCAATAATGGATGCAAATAATGTCTCCTTTCTGGAAAACAACAACAAAAGTAAAATTTTCAAAATGTAAAAAAATAAAGCCATCTTCCAGGTGTTGGTTTAGTGGCCTCCACAGGCTAGCTGAGCCCCGGAAGCCCTGTCCCCTGCAGCGTTACCCTTACCACGCTCTCTGCCTCCTGTCCCCAATCCCTCAGCTCCGAATTCAGCTGATTAAATCACACCACACGGATGGCAGAAGACCTGGGTTTATTAATCAGCATCATGGTTCCCTTTTAACTGAGCAGCTAATAACATTAAGTGGCAAAGGGAATCTCAAAACCAGACAGGTGATGGGGGACTTGAGCCCGAGCCTCCAAACTCCTCACTGAAGCCTCACTCCGAAGCTGGTCTTGAGCTCTGCCCTGAGCCACCCGGAGAGAAGGCGGTCTCTGTGGGCACTCCCTCTAGTGTTCCTGGCTTTGTCCCTTTTCATGCGATGTCATTTTGTTTTATGCCTCCCCTGAAGGGAGGTTTTGGAAGGGAGCTTTCTTCTGCTTGCCAGTTGCCAACTGTTTGCGGATTCTCATGATATGAGAATTATATTTGCATAACATAACTCGGGGACAATGTGTATTTGGATGCTCTGACCAGAGCCCAACCGATGTTGCGCACAAAGGACTTATTAGCCCTCCATAAGGCGCCCCCACAGGAGGGAGGGAGGCGGCCTCAGCTTCCCTCCTGGTAAACAGCCTCGCTCTGAAAAGCGCTTGGGGATCATCACTCATTAACCCCACAGAGCAAGGGACTTCGGGAAGCGTGGAATGCCCCTGCAGAGGCAGGACCTACTGCACGCCTTTGTGCATTGGTTGGTCTGCCCACCATCTGCATCCTCAACAGCCTCCCCCCACAAGTCAGGGCTTCCAGAAAAACCAGTGAATGAAAGGAGGAAGAGAAAAAGAAAGAAATGTAACTTGTTAATCTTCTTCCACTTATTGTCCATGAGATGCTATGAGCTGGAATCAACACAGAACAAGGCATTCAGGTGGGCTATTGACGTGCCCAGGCCCACACTGCGAGGAAATAGGGAGTTGGCGTAACATTCCAGCCCGTCCTGACTGCAGGCCTGTAAGTCGTGTTTTCTCCCTGAAACGTGAGGCCCATGAGAAAGGAGGAGGAAGAAATGAGGCAGGAGGACCCCACTGACCCTTGACCCAAAATGTGTTTGGTCTTGCCCTCCCTCCTGCTTGGAGCAGGTAGTGTTTGGCTGCAGGAGGACACGTGGTCTGGGTGCAGGGTCCTGGGTGGGACCACCCCGAGGGTCAGGCAGAGATGGGATCTGCTGGTGGAGCTCTGGGCCCAGTGAATTCTGGGGATTTATTTACCTCTTTGCAATGCATGTTACACCTCCCAAGCACTGGCTGTTTTGGAGCCCTCAGGGCGGGAGTCCTTAGGGCGGGCAGAGATGGGATCTGCTGGTGGAGCTCTGGGCCCAGGGAATTCTGGGGATTTAATTACCTCTTGGCAATGATGTTACACCTCCCAAGCACTGGCTGTTTTGGAGTCCTCAGGGCGGGAGTCCTTAGGGCAGAAATCCGCGGGGAGATGTGGATGGCTGGAGATGGCCCTTGAGCTGAAGTTCGCACCTGCACCAGATGTACAGGCGTTGCTCACACCAGCAGGCGGGTCTGTAATGTGCGTGCCACCAGGAGATGAATAAACAGTGCAGACAGCATCCCCCTGATTCGTCACATTTTACAGAATCACCAGGAGATCCCATGCGCGTCCGCCCTCCGGTTGACGTTGCAGCTCAGCTGTCAGCCATGCAAGCTCAGCTCAGCTCTCGGGTCTGGCAGGTGACTGAGCTGGGAGCGTGTGTGTCTGTGTGAGTCCCTCGCCTGCCCGGTGGCTTCTTTAATTAACGCCTGTGAGCGCCAGGGCCCGCACAGGCGGGCAACAACCCCTCACCACCGCCGCCCCGAACACTCTAGAACCCACCTCCTGAGAAACTTTCAGCTAAGTGTATAAACAAGGCTGTTTTTCCTTTTTTGATACTTTTTCCCCCCTGAGCTGGGCACTTAATTCTTTCAGATGCCTGTTTATGTACCACCTCGATATCTATATTGCTGGGCTCGACACTTCTTTCAGAAATAAAGTGAGAAATCCACTTTCCATACATTAAAATGGTAACTTCAAGCCAGGAGCATTGAAACAGAAATCCTCCCAACCCCTTCCCTACTCCTGCTCCCCAAACAAAAAGAAAAAGGAAAAGAAATCAAAGAAAGAAACAGAAGCAGCCCCTCACACTGGAGGGATTATTGCTCCTTCGGTGCCCTGCCCCTGGGACAGCCACAGGGACACTGGGCAGAAGCAAATTAAGTGATTAGTGAAGGAAAAAAGCAGAGGAGGAAAAAGTCACAGGCGGTGAGCGGAGAGAAAGGATGGCTTCCTCGCTGTTTCCTACCACTGTGCCGAGGAGAACCGCTAAGAAATGATACTTGAAGTTATATTTATTATTGTAAGCGGGTCTGATATTTCTGGGCAGGAATGATGGATGACAACTTAAATTTGTGTCCAGGGAATGAAGGTGAACTGTGACAGAGTTATTTATCTTGGGAATGGAGGTTAGGGTCAGCCTAGGCTGGGTGCCTGCAGGCACAAGACATTGACAAATTTATCCTGCAGGCCGCATCTGAAGCCCTTTGTTTTGGATCCTGGCTACTCACTAAGTGACCCTCATCCTTCATGTTGGCAACGCGTGAAGGATGCGGTGAGTGCCAGCGGCCCCTTCTCCCCCGCCGCCCCCGCCCGGCTCCCGCTACTAATTCTTGTCATTCACTTTGCTGACAGGCACCAAGCCCAAACTATTCCCAGTCCTGAAAGGGAAGGTTAAAATATTTATTTCGGCTCATAATGGCCTCCCTGATTTAGTGCAGGATCATTTTTCCTGTTGCCTTTGTCATTGCAGGTCACTGGAAGGACTGAGCGCCTTCGGGAGCCTGGAGGAGCTCGTCTTGGACAACAATCTGCTGGGGAACGACCTCGTGTTGCCAGGGTTACCCAGGCTCCATACCTTAACCCTCAACAAGAACCAGATATCCTTGGCTCTGCCCGCTGCCCCCACTGCCTGCCCTGCCCCGCAGTGGTCCCCTCCTGCTCGCCAGCTCTCCTCCCAGGCCCCACACAAATACCTGCAAAATGTCAAATGAGTTTTATGTGTCAGCTAAATTAAAGCATGTGAAATACAGTCCATGGGCAGACAAAGCGTTCTGTCTCCTGGCACTCGGGACACTTCAGAGTAATTTATTATAGGTCATTCATAAATGAAATGCACCATTATATCTTCCTGTTGCTCCATTTTAGTGCAGAGATCTAAGTTATGGCTGTGAAGAAATCTTTTTAATAGATAAAAATAGAGAAAGAAAATAATGTCACTGCTGCCAAGAAGGCGAATCCCGGTTCTGTTTGCTTGGGCTTGTGTGGGAGGGCGACCTCTGGTGGAAAGTCGAGGGTAATGCTGCTGAGCAAACTTGGCCTTTGCAGAGGATTCCGGAAGGCTCTCTTGGGCAACAGTTGTGGTGAAGGCGACAGGGGGAGGGGCCAAGGTGGAGGATAAGTGTGAAGCCCAGGCCTATCCTGTCTTTTATGGTGTTCATCACAGTAGGGTGATGAGAAAGGCCTGGGAGAGCCAGGCTGGTATATGGCCACTTCTTAAGACTGCGAGGACCTAGCCAGCTTCAGAGGAGACTCAGAGGGACTGAGGGCTCTGGAGTCCACCGTGAGCTGAGAATGGAGTCAGAACCTTTCTGCAGCAGAAGGCACATGGCTCCAATGTTAGATTGTGGGTCTGTGCCATCATGACGCCAGCCCAGCGAGGCAGAGTGTGGTGTCAGTGCTGTTAACTCCTGGATGCGCATCTATTATAACTCCCAGCACAGAGTTGAGGGTCAGTAAATGTTTGTTAGATAAGTGAATGAATCATCATCATCAGCTGTTCTTTAGGGGGCATTCCTGTGGATCAGGCGGCTCTGTGCCGAGTAGCTTTAGGTATATTACAGGGTGGGACAAACGTGAGTTTACAGTTGTGAGTACGTGAAACACAGTTTATTCTTCTATTTTCCATTCAAACAGCTGCACACCTACTTTTGCCTCACACTGTATTTTTCATTCTCATCCAACCTTGTAAGTAGGGTATAGTTACTCCTTTGTCCAGATGGGGAAAGAGGCAAAGTATAGACCCACAGCCAGACATTTAATAAGATGCTAGGTCCCAAATTCAATCTCAACTGTGGCTATATCCAGACTTCTTTCCATTCTAGTGTATTGCTTCAGACTTCAAGTCCAATCATCTTGTTTCATTGATGGCACATTCAAGACCTGGAGTGGTTTAATCACTAGTTCACGATCACAGGTGAAAAGCAAGTTAGAAATAGGAAAGGGATCAGGGCATTTTCCCTAGAGTATGATATAAAACCAGATATGCATGTGAAGTTTAATCTATATGCACATGTCAACATTTATTACCCACTGTTTATACTTCAAGTCATAAGTTTATATTTTCCTTATTCTGTAAAATATACTACTTCTGGTCATTATTAATTGGCACTTTAATAGAAGGAGAATGAGACTGCCTATAGGTAAATATCAGTCTTCATCATATGAAATGTTGATGGATTTTTCCATTTCCTATCCTCCAGTCAACTAAGTTTCCTAGTCACTGTTTGAAAAAGTGTTATAGTCAGTGTGTCTTAAGGCTTCCTTGGCTGTGTAAGGTGATCAGTGGGACAATATTCTCAAACTGATCAAGAACGGAAGGAATATTAGACTAGATTGGATGATACGGTTCCTTCCTTGAGCCATAGTGCTCATATCCTGTGTCCCGCATCACTGTTGAGTATTAGAGTTCATGAACGTGTGTTCATGAGTCAGCTTGATCATGCTTAGCTATGTGGCCTTGGACAAGTCATCCTCTAAGAGCCTCTGTTAATCATTTTTATAGGAATAAGTTGAATTGGATCATGGTTTTATTCTCAGATGATCTGCAGTTACCAGAGACTAGCGGGCCTCTTGGCTCTATAATTCAGATTTTCTTTGTCTCTGGTTGAGTTCTTTCCCTGCTCCATGCCTCATCTTCTCCAGTCTATAGCAATAATGCCCAGGAAGTAATGGTATGGCCTGGGAGGGACCGAGGCACAAGGCAAGGTGTAGGTGCCAAGCTGATCAGTCCTGTTGCTGTGTTGTTGTATGTGCTTTGTAATCAGTAGATACAAGAGATTATGGTTGGCCCTCTCAGGATGCAACATGGCTCTTCTTTCTCCTCCAGGCTGTCAGTATGATCATGAGAACTGGCTTACTTTCCCTTTATACTTGACCCCAAATTCATAGAATGAAAAGCAGGTAAAAGCACCAGTAATGATATATGTCATCCTCTTAACCTAACAATTTTGACTCCACCTTTTTGGCTGACTGACTTTCCTACCTACCCGTAATAGTACCTCAGGCTCTCTAACCATTACACAATTCCATATTGCTATTCCTACTCTGTGAAATGTCTTAGACTTGGGCTCTATCAGTTAGTTTTGCTGCATAATAATCCCCAACAGTGAGTCGCTTTAAAAACCAAACATTTCATTGGTTTACAAGACTATGGGGTCAGCTATTTGGGCACGGCTTGGATCACAGTTCTGCTAGTCTTGCTTTGGGCCACCCAGGCAGCCAGCCACAGTTATCTGGAAACTCAGCTGGGGCCGGATGGTCTGAGATGGCCTTGTTCGAAGGCCTGGAACTGGAACTGGTGCTGGCAATGGGCTGAACTACATGTCACCCACAAACTAGCACAGGTCTCTCCACATCGGAGGGGTGTCCCAAGAGCAAAGTTCCGATGTACAAACACTTCTAAAGCCCAGCTCGTATCATGGGTGTTGCTGTCCTATGGCCAAAGCAAGTCACATACCAAACGTAGAACCACTGTGAGAGGGGACTATGCCAGGTGTAAATACACAGAGGCATAGCTCATTTCATTAATCTAACACACAGACCTTGATATCCTGTCTCCTTAAGTTTTTACTTCATATTTCCAATAAAGAGAGACCTGGAATCAAGGAACTATTGACCTTCTGAATATTCACTCTTTCTTATAAATTGAATCTTATTTAAAACATATTAGGAAGCTTGCTGTCAAATGGGGATCTACCTCAAGTTCTTCTGTGCTGTTGGTTTTATTTTTAATTTTCTGCTTTTTGGCATATATATAATGGTTATTCACCCCCACCACAGCTCATTTTATCTGCAGAGTTTTCCATTTGGGTTTTACTCACAATTAAATCTGTTTATACAATGAGTGTGTTACTGGACCCTGGGAACTTGGGTTATGGTTTTTTATCTTTTACCAAGTGGCACTGCCAAATAGTACTTAAGAACAACAGGCTCTGAAGCCAGACTTCCTGGGCTTGTACCCAGGTCTACCACTTACTGCATGACTTGGACAAGTTACTTAACATCTCTATGCTTTGGCTTAAGATGGGGACAATAATAGTACCCACCCCATAGGTTCTTGTAATGGCTATGGAAGAATCTCACAAATACTAAGTTACAGTAACACACTGAATTCTATGTAAGTATTACAACTTTTATTATGATCCTAGAGAATTATGTGAACTTATCTAAAGTCTTTTGGGTCAGAGTATAACCAACATAAGAGTATAGATTTAGAGTGCTTCTTTGACTTCTATACTATAATTTAATATTGCCCTCACATCATTCTGTGAGTCGGGTACCACTAGGGATAATTCTCATTTTCATGAAAAAACTGGGAGAGTATGAACTTTTTGAAATCACATAGATTGTCTGTGGTGGGGCTCAGTCTAGAACACAGGTGTGTTAATTCTCAGCCCAGACTCTGAGACCCAAGGTGGAGGGGCAGGCACTGCACAAGAAGAGGAACTAAGGTGCGGGAAGAGTCAGCTGCCTGTGCCTGGCTCCGCAAGGCCCTGCTCCCAGCTGCAGTGGGAGCTTATGAAAGGAATTCCCGACCCCAAACCCAGCATCTGGCAAATTTCTTCCCAGATCACCACTGCCCCACTTCCTGGCTGCGTACCTCCTGCTCGACCTCACATGTTTGATCTCCTAGTCCTTGTCCCTGAGGGTTCCATTCAGCCGTCAGCTTTGGAGCCCTGTCCTGGCATCCCTAAAGCCTGGTCTTCCCAGGTTACCTCTTCATCTCTTGGTTCATAGCTTATCTCACTCTTCTTCCTTAGGTTCATTTGCACTGGCCAATAGTGCCTGGCCATGGCCTTGACCCTCTCTCCCCAGCTCGCGCTCTCTCTCTCTCTTTCTCTCTCGAGCATGTACACACTGTCCCTGGCTGTTCCCCTGTAGGGATGGGCAGTTGGCCATATCATGTCTGAATACTCAGCCCCAAATAAGAGAACAACTGAGATGTCAGAAAAATATGGATATTTAACCTTTCACCCACTTTTCCTTTAGGGGTGATAAGTGACTTCATTTTAAATCACAGTTCATTTCTTCATTTTCTGTCTCCCTGTGTGCTTCAGCACATGTATGGAGAGACAGCATGAACTATAACGCCAAGGAAGATGCGTAATACAAGTAGGATGTGCTGAATTAGAAAGCAGGACTAAGAATTTTCATTTTTCATTATTTAAAACTAGAGGCCCGGTGCACGAAATTCGTGCACGGGTGGGGGGGTCCCTCAGCCCACCTGCAACGACACCAGCGTCCCTTGCCCTGGCCTCCGGCCCAAGGCACCTCCCCTCCTGCCACATGGCCGGGGTGCAGATGCTGGGCTTGCATTGCTGGGGCAATGCTGCCAGCGTCCCGCCCCGGCCACTATAGGTGCCACCATCTTTGTCGCAGAGCGATGGTTAATTTTAACCTTTCACCCACTTTTCCTTTAGGGGTGATAAGTGACTTCATTTTAAATCACAGTTCATTTCTTCATTTTCTGTCTCCCTGTGTGCTTCAGCACATGTATGGAGAGACAGCATGAACTATAACGCCAAGGAAGATGCGTAATACAAGTAGGATGTGCTGAATTAGAAAGCAGGACTAAGAATTTTCATTTTTCATTATTTAAAATTTCTTTTTTGTGTTAGAAAATGACGAGTCATTGTCTAGGGACAATGACGTGTCCCTAGAAATGCCATTTCTTCAGTTCTAGGTTTAAATATAAACTTTGCCATTCACTGACAGTGTGACCTTTGACCCCAGTTTCCTTCATTGTTATGTGAATGTAATAATATTTCTGATGTATGTGCAAATCAAAATGAGGTACTATGCCATATACACTGTTTAGTTAGCACTCAAAAATCCTATAGTAGGATGAGCTCTGGTTGAAATCCTCCCAGTGGTTATAGATGCTGCCCTTTGCCCTTTGAAGCCGAGCACAGTGGGAAGGTATGTCCCCATTCTCTCACCTGGGAAACAGCTTCAGACCTGCAACTGGCCCTGACCCCGGAGGCACCCCTCCTCCCTCATGCTCCAAACTTTCCAGGCAAGATGTTGCTTTGATCTTGGGCCCCAGCAGAAAATCTCCCTTGGCAAGCCCGGCCACGACAGCTGGGCTCTGCAGTGGCAACTTTCTGTAGACAACATTGAAAAAAATCGAAGCAGCAAGTACTCTAGAGAAGGCTCGATGAGGGAAACCAGGTGTGTGCTAAGAATCCAGCTGGAGAGAAATGAAACTGTGCCAGATAGTGTCACATTTTTAAAAATGGGGGGGAAAAACCAAAAAAAAAAACACCCCCAAAAACCCAAAGCCTTAGGAGAATTGCTGAAAGAGTCTCCACTGCGGTGGTCTTGATTAGCCCCAGACCCCAGTTCCCTCCTCTCAGTGGCTCTGGTTAATTTTCTATGCAATTTTACAAACAGGAATGTGACACATTCTCTCTCAGAGCCTGCAATCAGGCAAGTCAAGGCTGTGCTCGTCCTTGCTGGCCCAGGAGACCAAGGAACCAATTAAATCTCCTCCTCCTGTTTCATCCTCCAGTGGTGATCTCAATGTAATGATGAAGTTCTGGTCCACAGAGTCCTGAAGTAGGTGCTGGAGGTTCCTGCCTGGTGTGGATTTGGGGGAGACCACCTGGCTAACCCCAATTGATCAGTTAGTGGGTAGTTGAAAGGCTTAGTAAGATGGAGTAGCTTCTGCCACGCACAGTATCCTAAATGGAGCAGGCTCAAAGGCTTAGGAAATCCATAATTCCTTAGATTTATGGGCACAAGATGGCTGAAACTTCTTGAAGCCTCTAGATCAGCGGTTCTCAACTTGTGGGTCGCGACCCCTTTGGCGGTCGAACGGCCCTTTCACAGGGGTCGCCTAAGACCATCCTGCATATCAGATATTTACATTACGATTCATAACAGTAGCAACATTACAGTTATGAAGTAGCAACGAAAATAATTTTATGGTCGGGTCACAACATGAGGAACTGTATTTAAAGGGCCAGAAGGTTGAGAACCACTGCTCTAGATGCTTTGCCCAAGAAATGATCCAGATTCGAATGAATCAACATCTCCACAGCCACCTGTTCATTGGCTGACCCAGATTTTGTGGAGTGTAAAACTTACATAATTTGAGGAAGCCCTCTTAAAGGAAAAAACTATGTAAGTGTGAATGCAAAATTAGGTATGAAGATGAGTGTTACTTAGAATAGGAAATATATCAAAACAAAATAAAATTTAAGTTGAAAAATACCACACACTAAAATATTTAGAAAAGTGAATCTTTTTGTACTACACATGTCCGTATAAAAACTTTGTTCCTGCAAATTCCCTTATAACTTTGTTATATAATTTTCTAATATTTTATAGAGAGAAAATAGAAAGATAATTCCATCTAATTGAAAATTAAGTTGTATTTTTTTTAAATATGCTCTATTGATTTTTTACAGAGAGGAAGGGAGAGAGATAGAGAGTTAGAAACATCGATGAGAGAGAAACATCGATCAGCTGCCTCCTGCACATCCCCTACTGGGGATATGCCCACAACCCAGGTACATGCCCTTGACCGGAATCGAACCTGGGACCTTTCAGTCCGCAGGCCGACGCTCTATCCACTGAGCCAAACCGGTTTCGGCTTAAGTTGTATTTTTAATAATTTAGGGAGGGTTCTTTCAGATTCATCACTCCTTATTGGTAATTTCACCACTAAATTATTGGCAAAATATTTAGAATTTTTAAATATTGCAAAAACTCTCATACATTTTCTTCATATATGAGCTGTTATATTTTAGGACATTTCAAGTTATTTGTGTATGTGTATACACTCAATAACTTAATCTTAAATGTTCTTTGACCTGATAAATTCGTTAATCATTGTATCATCAGTTTTATGTTGGTCCCTATATGTTGTGTCAGCATGAATATTACTGGAAGCTGTTCCTACTGATACTGTTGTAATAACCAGACACAGATATGATGCAAACCACACAAATATATCTCACTGAATCCTAATTAAATGCCACTTCTTCCCAAGTTCCTCTTAGCCAGGTTCCCAGAATTTCCGCAGGCACTCTAATGTCACCCAACTCGAAGTGATATGCAGTGGATGACATCCTAGTGAAGAAAAACAGTGATCTTAACCAATCGCGAATTTCACAAAATACGTGACTATGCGGCACTATTACTAGGGCTTGTTTCGGAGCCCTCTGCAAGCAAAGAGCCCTCACATACAAGCTTTATTAGTTCTGTGGGAAATTTACATGTGAAGATTTACTCAGATTAAACTGGGCCTCCCTGGATGGTGGCCTGCTAGGTTTCCCATCCGTAGTCACTAAATGTTGAGAAGTAACTGGGATCTCAATCCAACTTAGTTGCCCAGTGTTTTCTCAACTTGCAAATCTTGCCAGTTTTGAGTTCTATTCCTTCACATTACCACCTTCATACAGTAGATAAAAAAATAGATGAAGATTTAATGTTCTCCTTTTCCCCAAATACCATGATTTTTTTTTCTCCACTAGTGAGGCCACTGAGCAATGCTCAGCTCTACCACAGACTCTCAGTTTGCCCCTAAGAGGGAACTAGGTTTTGGTTAGACTTTTCTGTCCATAGTAGTAAAGGCTTCCCCTAGTTTATCTCCTGATATTGGATAATTCCTCTTGTCCATGGGCTCTTGGTATTCATGGCCTCTATCCTGGCCTGTCAAATCACCATCTTGCTTAGGGTGAACTGAGCAATGCTCAGCTCTACCACAGACTCTCAGTTTGCCCCTAAGAGGGAACTAGGTTTTGGTTAGACTTTTCTGTCCATAGTAGTAAAGGCTTCCCCTAGTTTATCTCCTGATATTGGATAATTCCTCTTGTCCATGGGCTCTTGGTATTCATGGCCTCTATCCTGGCCTGTCAAATCACCATCTTGCTTAGGGCCCAGCTCATCAGCTCAATTGATGAGTTGATGTGTGAACTAGCCCTTCCCAATCCCTGTGACATCCTGCATCTGTGACTCTTTTCTTATATGGTTTGTGGTGTCTCAGAGTTTGACTTGACTGGACAGTGGAGCCCACTGTGGGGATGGATCATGGAATAATTTTACCACCATGACCCTCCTTGGTCTTTTCTCTTCCATTTTTCTCCCCCTTCATAGAACATTAGGTTCACAAAGGGTCTCAGGAAATGGATTCTGACCTGCCTGCCTTGACTAAAGTTGTTCTACTTTTCTCAGCTTATCTTCTCCTCCTAGCTTTGTTCTCCTTTCCTCCCAATACTATGATTTTTTTTCCCCACCAATGAGGCCACTGAGCAATGACTGGCTCCACCACAAACTCTCAGATCATAATAGGATGGCCAATCCCTGTTTGTGTTTATGTCATTCCTGTATGTTTTATTGATACATTACCCATTATAGGAGAATTAATATTTTTTAATGAGGTCTTTGAAAATAATGCCTTGCTTTCACTACTAGAAAAAAATTAAGTTTTATGGATTTGCATATTGTAAAATATTTTACTACATGGAATATACCCTTCATCATTTCAACTTAAAAACAAAACAGAACTATAGAGGAAAGTGTGGTAAAACAATTAAGTGCATTAATTTTCTCTCAAGTGATCTGAACTCAGCCTTACCTGTCCAGAGAAAAGCTGGTTCATGTATCCAACAGTAGGAGTGAAAAGCTAACTGTTCCAGATACCCACAGCTAAGCTGATTTCAACCCTCACGCATGCCTGGAGCAGTCTGGACTCACAGTGGCTAGTCTTTCCCTGTAAGCCATGGTCTAGTCTCCTTGTTAAACCTTTTGTCTTCCTGGACCAAGACCCTTAACAACAATTAAGTGCATTAATTTTCTCTCAAGTGATCTGAACTCAGCCTTACCTGTCCAGAGAAAAGCTGGTTCATGTATCCAACAGTAGGAGTGAAAAGCTAACTGTTCCAGATACCCACAGCTAAGCTGATTTCAACCCTCACGCATGCCATATCATGGGAGCAGTCTGGACTCACAGTGGTCTAGTCTCCTTGTTAAACCTTTTGTTTTCCTGGACCAAGATCCTTAATCTTTGTCACATCACTGACTTGGAGCATCTGCTTGATCACCTGGCAGAAGTGACACCAGCTCTGGAATACCTCAGCCTGCTGGGTAACGTGGCGTGTCCCAACGAACTGGTCAGCTTGGAAAAGGACGAAGAAGACTATAAGAGATACAGGTGAGTATCTAGGGGTTTGAGCATGGTGAAAGAAGGAAAAAGCATCTTTTGGGGGGATAATGTACTATTGTGTGCATAGCAGATGTTTGGTAAATATCAGTGGATTCCACGTGATAATATTAAACTTTTACCTTTGCGGAACCTATAGCCATTGTCTCTTTTTGTTGAAGTCAGAGGAGCCAAGAAGCATGGAATGCTGTTGAGTGGTCTTGGTCAGGGGTTGGCAAACTTTTTTGTAAAGGGATGAAGGTCATATGGTCTCTGTTGCAACTATTCAACTTGGCTGTTATAGTGCAAAGTAGACATTTGTAAATGAGCGGGCATGGCTATGTTCTAACAAAATTTTATTAAAAACAAAAACAAAACAGATAGCAGGCCAGATTTGTCTCTATTTTGCTGACCTATGCTCTGTCTTGTCAGGTCTTCCCGAGGTCTGCTTTAGAGTCACTTTTTGGAGAAAAAGCACTTCCCACTGAAGTTTAGGGAGCTTATATAAAATCCCAAGAGGAAGTCCCACAAGGCCCATAACTTTGTTCCATAAAACTATGCCCAAGTGCCCATTGACCATGCGCTTTGATGGGTTCCAAGTAGAAATGCTTTTCTTTATTGTTTCTACTTCTAAACCATCTGCTTTGAAACACCAATCCAAACTCATCTGTGTTAGGGAGCCTTCTCCATCGCACTGATTTCATAAACTCGTTTTGTTTTCTTTCTTCATTTTGAATTCTGTATGCTCTCATTCTTGACTATTGTTTGGTAAATACTTTTAATGATCATCTCTGATGTGTTGCAGGTCTCTCCATTATGATATATGCTCTCATTAAAACCCCACTCGAATCAATGTGGGAAGGAAAGAGGGAGGAAGGATGGAAATACAAAACCTATAAGGCTACTGGAAAATAAATGTGGAAGAATTGAGGAAAGAGGATAATAATCTGAGAGAAATTTGTTCTATTAAGACTCATATAAAAATCTGTGGTGATCCATGAAGGAACATAGCTGGGGGCATTCATTTGTATAAGCAAAACTGTAAGAAATACTGAAGGCTGTTGAATATAATATGTTTAAAACACACACACACACACACACACACACACACACACAAACACACACACGCTAAAGCTACAGTAGGATTTTAGTTACATTTCTTCATTGGCAAGAGTTTTATACCTTTCACTTCATTTTCTAGCTTACTTGATTAATTTTGTAGCAGTCTTAGCTGCTTGCTTTTAAACTATCTTAGAATAAAGCTACTTTTAAAAAATGTACTAAATCTTTCTCCATCATGAAGATTTTCATTTGAGATATGATACTGTCAATTCAAATGTGAGTTCTGTTAGGAGAAATATGTTTAATGTCCAGCAGGTGAATAGTTACACATTTCTAAATCAACCCTTGAAGTTGCATAGTCACTTAGAACTTAATTTGCTTCTTTGACACTCTTATCAACTCTGAAGCATTTAACAGCCGGATTTCAAGCATGAAAGGGTGGCTCAAAACATATTTTATCTTCTTGTGGCAACTTATTTACTAGTATATGTCTTAGAAAGGTTGAGCAAGTCCAAGAAAGTTCTGTCAATCAACATTTTTAGTAAACCAAGCCTTATTTGGGAAATTCTCAGTTGTTTTTCTGTTTTTTTTCTTTCTTTCTGTGTTCTTAATTTTTTAAAAATAGCCAAATAAATTTTATATATGTGTATGTATGTACATGTGTGTATGTGCACACACATTCACACACACATGTTCATTCATTTATTAATGTTCATTCATATTCAGGTGCTTCAAACTAAGCAATTTTTCTTTTCTAGAATGAGAAAAGTAGAGTGAGAACAGTTTCTAATCCCACCTTATTTTATTCAGTCTCAAATAGAAAGAGGGTTTTATGAGGTTATAAAAGAACAAGAAAAGCTAATACTATTTTTTTTTGTCATTGTGACTGGTCACATTGGCAAAAATACTAAGACCCAAGGTGTAAGATGATCATCAAATAAGATGATCTGATATGGAGTCCAGTTTGCCAGTGGGACTTTTTAAATGGAGAGGCCGGTCTAGATCAGGATCCCTTAACCAAGGTGATTCTTCTGAATCGTCTGAGGCATTTTGATTAATTTAGTGGCAAATGCAACAAAATAGTCACTAGGTGATTCTGATGCTCCGTGAAGAACTGTTGAACTAAGTGGTATTTAAAATTCCTGTGGGCTCTAGCACTCTGAGATACTCTGCTCCCAAGCAGTTACAGTTCTTCCTTTCCTATCTCATGTTTCATTATGCGTTTTATCTTCTGCATTTCTCTCACTACCTCATATATTTCACCATTCAGAGAATGGCTTCCAGTAGGTAAAGACTGCATCTTCTTGACCCTTGAAGCCTCAGTAATACCTAAAGTAGACATTAATACCTAAAGCAGACCATGGAATAGGGGCTTGGTAATTTTTCTGGAGCTAGCTTGAAATTACTCTTCCTCTCATAAGCTGAGCATCAATCAACAGATGCAGGGCCCTTTGGCTCCTCAGATGGCCCACTGCATACTTGGAAAAAGTTCCATTTGGATCTCGACAAATGCAGTTAATAAGCAAGAGATTATCCTTCAGACTCAATCCAAGTGGTGGTTGTCGGGGCCTGATTCCTTAGGGTGGGCTTGATTCTAGAGGCGTGATCCATGTCATGGGCTAGGATGAGCACCCTCCAAGCCTGTCCTCCCCACTCCATGTCTGGTCCCTGGAGGGTGTGGAAGGGTGGGGCTGGGAAGGCTGTTTGTTAGTTGCACATATGGCAAAGTTGCCAAGGGGAGCGGGGTTTTAGAGGCCGCACACAGTGGCAATCACATCCAGTCAAATTTATCTGAGAAAATTCAGAAGTCACCTACAAGGATGGCAAGGTGCTCATACTCTGAGAGAAACAGAAATCAGGAGCAGTGGTGGGAACACGTGTGCCCATCCAGGTCCACATGAACTGCATGGCCTCTGACTGTTGCATGGAAGAGTAGGCCCACGCTGCAGTAATTCTAAATTTGTCATTCCTCTGTGCTTTTTGTTTGTTTGTTTGTTTGTTTTTATCTCTCATTTGACAAGCATTCTCACACTTGCATTTGGATGAGATGAATGTGTATATGACCCAGTTCTGCTCTGTGGTCCATAACAGCCCCACTTTGTTCACCCTGGAATCTGTGCTTCAATTAACCCTGAGAAGTTTTAGGGCTTCACAATACGTCTTTTGAACCCAGAGTTCCTGTGGCATTTGGGTTTCTACCAAGCAATGTAGCCACCTTTTTTATATTCTCTTGGTAAACACTCTTCCTGGCCCTTCATTCACAAAGCATGATGTCTGCCTGCCTTCTAGCTCTTACTGGAGCCTAATCCTAGGGCCTCTATGTAAATTTATGTGACATTTTCACTAGAAAATTGCTTAAAAATGAATGATATTTCTATGGTTTACTGTTTTTCACTTTAAGTACGTTTTCTGACAATATGTCTTCTATTAATCATTTAAGCAATAGTAGGAGCCTTAAAGGAGTGTATTCAGAAGCAAGAACCCATGGCTCATTTAGTGCTGTCTAAAAGAATGTCTTATTGATTGGCATCCTCTGTGGGTATGTGATGTAATATTTATAATATGTCACCCCACCATACATCAAAACAGGTATGTCCGTTGTTTCATTTCCATGGGAGATGTTGATTTCTGAGAGGTCTGCTGGGTTTTAGGTCATGTTGTGGCCAACCACTGGACCAGAAATGGAAAGTGACTAGAGTCACAGAGTTGTTGGAAATGGCTTCATAGATGCTTTGGTGTCTGCAGATTCTTTTCTCCCCTCTCCCTCACCACCCCCTTTCCTTCCTCATTCACCCCCTGTGCACCGGGTTAGATTTTCTTGGCACACATCCCCACAGTAAAATGGGCTCATTAAATCTGAATGTGAGCATGAACATATTACCAAGTTGTTGATCAGTGCCCTGGTCCTGCTGGGGCAGGAGCAAAGCCATGCCTGGGGTTTCTCTTTGCCATTCATCATAGATCATGGCTGAGAACTGTCCATGGCCATGTTATTATAGGAGCCTAAACCTGCCCATGCTTTGCTGTGTACACACTGTGCTATTTTGGGATGAATGTTGAATGGAGGTGAATGTGATAACCAGCAGCCTTTGGGGTGTGAGCAGGAAGAGGGTGGGTGAGGCAGAGCTTGGCTTGGGAGACCACCATCATACTAAGAAACCACTGAGGGCCTCCTGTGGACTTCAACACTAGCCAAAAAATGGATCCAGGATGGAAACCTGGGTGCCCAGTGTGTTCTACTTCTTGTCTTCCTTTACAATTCCTTTCTTTCTTCTTACTGCAGGAAAGAAAGTAGCCTGGAAGTCAACAGTACACAAGCGCTAACTTCAGATGTCAAATAAGGGAGGTGGGCTCGTGGTCTCAGCTCTACTTCTGTCATTTAAAGCCTTTGTCATTCATTCTCTTCTGTCACTGCAGTCTTTGGTCAGCCTCTCCTTCCTTGTTCCTCCCCAGTAGGTCCCTCTGTGTTCCTTACAACATTAAATTATTTTAAATGTGACACCCTTTCTTTGTTCTCTCCAAGGGAGCAGCCCAGGGGCCTGCCCAGTGTCTTCAGCACTCCGCCAAAGGGCAGGAGGGAGGGACCCTTTGCAGTCTGTGGGCCATCCTGGGCTACCACCATTTCCCCGCTGAGTAGGAGCTGTAAAACTTGTGGCTTACATAGCCCAGCTAGCATGCTCCAGCTAATCTACAGTCTGGGCTTTGAAGATCACAAGAAAGCAGAGGTCACGACCCAGAGATCAAAGTGACAGAAGCCCACAGAATAATTGCTGGTTACCCTCTGTAGAGGGCCGTGGTGTGTCCTGTGGGTGTATTGTTTGCCCGGCGACTTCAAACATACTGCCCAAATCAGCTGGCCTTTGCCAGTTGTCAGGCATTCATTAATGCTGTAGGTGAGCTCACCTCGGCTCATTAGAGTGAGATCATTGTCATCTCTCTGAGCATCTGGAGTTATTCCACATAGTGTTTGTTCATTACGCTTTGTTCTTTATTGACTTTTTCTTACCATTCTCTTTTACCTGGAGGTGTGAGGAGGCAGTTACATAAGGAAATTGGAGTAATAAGAATGGAGAATATGGATGTATTTATTGTAAATTAACTTTGAGGCTCATAGAAGTCAAGCAAAATAAAGGTTAAAAGAGGCTTAGGCATCATTTAGCCCATTCCCTTCATTGCACAGATGGGGAAACTGAGGCTCAGGAAGGTGGTAGAGACTGAGCCAAGATTGCTCAGCAAGATAATCCCAGAGTCTGGCCTTTTCCTTTGACCTGTTAGTCCCCAAGCTTTTTGTTACGAAGATCTCCCCTCTTTTTTAAAATGTTCTTCCCTGTACTTTAAAGCTTTGCCTCCTAAAAAAAAATAAATAAAAAGCTTTGGCTCTTAAATAAACTGCAATTAAGCCATCACTAACATTTAAAAATTAGTCAGACACATTTAGCAGTTGATCCGTGCTTTGAATCAGCATCAGGTAACCAGGATTACCAATCAGGGTTGATGCAATCCAGTCAAGAGCAAAGACGCTTGATATTTTGTTGGCATGTTCACTCTATTCTTTTAAGCTTGTGAAAGGTTGAAAACAGTACATGGGTCACCCATTACTGTCGTCAGGGGCCCCAGGAGGGCATCAGTAGGTTGCACCATCTCTCCCCCACCTATACACGGGAGCAAGTAGGCAGCAAGAACTAGTGGGAAGAAGCATAGAATGCCATAAATGGAAGGAAGTAGGAAAAAACTCCAGTGATTCCCCCACCCGGGTCCCTCAGAATCTAGAAACTTGGTGTGTCTTGAGTAGAGACTCCTCAGAGAAAGGAACACGCAGCCAGCCCAGGAGCAGGCCGTGCAGATCTGTGGTTGCGTGGTGCTGTGGGTAGCAGTTCTGAGCAGGAGGGAAGAGCATCCTCCTCTTGCTTTGAAGTCTATATGGAAAGTGCCAAAACTTTGGCATTTGGACAGAGAAAAACAAGCAAAGAAGCCTTTCTGCTGTTCTTTTTGTCCCCCTCCCAGTTTGGGGAGTCTCCTTAGAGGAGTCCTTTAAGAAAATGGGGCATTCTGTATGGAAGGAGAGAGAACCTGAGAACTCTGTGGGTCTCACATTTAGACAGTCTGTCTGCAGACAGAAACACATGGGTCTTTAAACACCATCCTTCCCAGGATCCCTGATCTGCTCCCCGTGACCTCACCTTCCATGTCACAGCCAAGTGTGCCTGACTCCCTTCCCCCGGCCCTGGGATGTCGCCCAGCCACCTTGGAAAGGTCAGGGAAATTGGAGTTGCCCTCTGGAGCTCGGGATGGGAGACTCAGAACTTAGATGGATCTCTTTTCATTAAGCAGTGTCCTGGCTTAACAAGCAGTTTTATAAATCTGGAGCTGTCTCCGGGTGTCTCGGGATTTATAGACGGGGGTTTCTGCCATAAAGTGGTTTATGATGGCTGCCTTCTGTGTTATTAGTAGCTGTCTCTTCCTTCAAGCATTGCTGTTTGATAATAGCCTTAAAACACCCAGAATTACTTACCTGCAAGCCCCGTTCCCAATAGCCCCTGTTGACAGTCCGAATAAGTTTACTGCCCTTTTGTTGTACTTTACCTTCAAAACAAACTGATTGAAGCATCAATAGCTCGCGGAAGCTGACAGAGCCACGTCATGTGGACTGGCCCTTGTGATTGCAGGTTATCGGGGAGTTAACCTTCCTGCATTGTTAACTGAAATGTTTTATGTACTATGCAACTTTAGGATACGGCTGTGATAACCTCAGTAACTAAGTCATACATCACGATAAAGAGATTTTGGTGCAACAAATAACCCAGGATTAAATTTACAAGGGTGGAATTGATATTGTAAAAGCCTTCATTCCGTGGCTTCGGGAGGCCTCTCTTGTATTTTTATGGCAAGCTTGTATAATACTCAGGATTGAAGCTGCAGCTTTTGACATCCTGACATGACCTAGAACAAAGGGAAATAGATCTCCTGAGACTGGGATGGGACGGGCAGGCAGAAAGCCCACTGACTTATCACTTGGCAGTAATGTTTGGAACCTGGGCCAAACCACCAACGGGCAGGAATTTCTGGTGGATGTGGCCACTGTCCGCGTTCTGTCTGCCGCAGGTACGGGGCAGGGCAGACCCCTCACAGAATTGGGAAGGAGACTCTTTGCTACCTTACCAACCCCATCATCCCAGAACTGTTATTTTTCATGCTGTGATTTGTCACTTGGACGGGGGTTCTCCGCAGGACCAGCAGCCTCAGCCTCACCTGGGAATTTATGAGAAATGTAAATTCCAGGCCCCTCTCCAGACGTAGTGAATCAGAAACTCTAGGGCTGGGGCTCCCGTCTGTCTTTCAACAAGCTTGTGAATCACTGTATTAGGATAGAAGCCCCTTGAGAGCAGGGACCTTGTCTCATTTGTGCATCACCTAGGCTCAGCACCTAGTACAGGTGGTAGCTGCCTACTAATTATTTGTTGGGTGAATCAATGTATGAGTAAGTAAGTAAAAGATGACATCTCTAAGGGAGAAAGTTTGGACCCTGGGCTGAGTCTCAGACCCAGTATTTGGGGCAGGCTTTCCTAGTGTTCCTCAAATCTTTCTAAGCAGGAACCACCTGGACACCCCAGGCTGGCTGTCAGGTGGGAGTCAAGTCAGCCCTATATCAGGGTGACAGGAAGCCTGTTTCATGGCTGTTTCTGTGATTGTATCAGAAGAGTGCTCTGAAAACAGCAGCTCTTTCTCATCTACCATTTTAACTAGCTTAAAAGCCATCTCTCTCTCTCTCTCTCTCTCTCTCTCCCCGCTCTCTGATTTGAGGGCTGGGATCCAAAGTGGGGTGAAATGACAATGCTCTCTCTCTCTCTCTCTCTCTCTCTCTCGCGCGCGCCCCTCTCTGATTTGAGGGCTGGAATCCAAAGTGGGGTGAAATGACAACGTGCTGTCTGTTGTCACCGTGGTTCCTGGCAGCCCTGTGAAGACATCTTTCACTCCATCATTAAACACTGGCTGGGTTTGTAATGCTGATGTTTTCTTCACCTGAATATTCATCTTTTCCCACCCTACACTTAGTGGGTGTCTTTCCTCCTTAGAGCGTCACGCCTGACATATTGTTTCCATCTGTACGTGTCTTTACTTGAAAAAATCTGTTGTCATCCAGACTTTGCCATACCAGCAGAAGACGGAATTCTCTCTGACGTTGACTGAGGCCAGCGGGAGTTCTGCTGGAGGAGAGAAAAGTCACCTGGGCTCCTTGTGGAAATTTCTGGATTGGGATAAGGTTAAGGACATTTGGAGAGGGGAGGGAGAGGCTCAGGGAGAAGTAGAAAAAAGGTAATAGATTGAGGCCAGAGAGGAAGCAGGAAGTAGATAGTCAAATTTCCAGGACCTCAGATGTTGGGGTATAGAGTTCTGGGGATGAAAAGTATACCTCCAAAGAATTTTAGAGCATTTTGACTTTAAATGACTAACATGGAGGTTATCGCTAGAGATCTCTAAGTCGTTGTCTCTGGTGTTTGAGTGATCAGCTATCTTTCCCCTAGAGAAGCGTTGGAGGTCACATGTGATGTCAGAGCGGGGCCTGTCCTGGGAACCCAGGGCTCCCCTGAAAAGGGAGGTACCCTACTTACCCCAAGTCACATCTGCACTGAGAAGCTAATGCTTGGGGTTGCTTTAGGGTTTGTTTCTTTGAAGCCTACTTGTCCTCCTTCAGCTATTAGTTTTTAATTATTAGGCCCCTTCCTCTGTGCTTCCAAAACTACTGCATAACTTCAATCTTGGTACTTAGCTATGCTGTTTCTAATTTCTCTGTGTGAGTCTGTCATGCCGATGACACTGAAAACCCCCCTAAATGCAGGGACCATATCTAGGGCCTGGCACATAGTAGGTGCTCAAGAAATACTTGTGCAAGAGAAATGAACTTGTATTTTATTGAGTTAATTCTGATGCTACTTTGCAAGATGGCCTGAGGGTGAGCAAAAAACGTTTGTTCCTGCCTTCAAGAAGCTTATAGTTTAGGTGAGGACATCAACGGAACTAAATTGCCAAATACCAGACACACTGCATGGAACTTTGAGGTGGTCACCCACCCTCCTGAGCTGTCTCTGCCTGTTCTCTTCCAGATGCTTTGTTCTTCACAAGCTGCCCAATTTAAAGTTCTTGGATGCCAGGAAAGTAACCAGAGAAGAACGAGAGGAAGCTTTGGTCAGAGGGGCGTTCATGAAGGTGGTGAAGCCCAAGGTAAGCTGCCTAGGTCATGGTCTTCTCGAGGGATTTGTGTCTCACCTCACAGGTACTCTTGGAGCATGGAGGGTGTGCTTCCATGTATTCAGAATGCAGGAGAGCTCGTCCATGGGTACACTGTTAGCCAAACAAGAAGTAGGACTGGGTACACACTGGGTCTTCCCAGTCTAAGAGGACCTTATTTGTAAGGTGATTTCACTTGGATGGCTTGTTTACTGGTAAAGCAGCACCTTGCACAGCCAATGGTGATGTCCCAGGAGTAGGTGGGATTTCAGGCCTCTTTCTTAAAGATGGTTCATTTATAAGATGGTGCCTCTGCAGGTCTGGAGCTGAGAAAGGGGAAAGGGGAAAGCGCTGAGCATGTGTGCTTTCTCAGGTGGCTGGGATTCCTCTAGCACCTCACAGGGGTCCCTTCTTTCCTGGGACCAAAGGGGAGACACAGGAGAGGGATTTTCTTGGTTCCACAGCTGAGAACTCAACAGCTCTCAGAGATCCTGGTAGAGGGAAAGTGCGTTTTTCTGACAATGGGACTTGGGACTGGTGTGTGCTCCCTCCAGGTAGCTTTCTAGGGTTCATGGAAATGATGCTCACTGACCTGTCAGGCTGAGTCTGCCCTGAGGCCATGGAAGTGACCATGGGTCATCTTAATGCCAACATTGATGAGGCAGGGGGGGCTTGGCTCTCAGACCCAAGGAGATTTCTAAGGACATGGACAACTATCTTATTAGGAGGAATTGGGGTCCTTCTATAAGGCCTGAGGGTGGGGCATGGACTTGATGACACTTGGTGACCCCAATGGAGATCCATCCCTGCCCTGGGGCTCTGTGGAGTGACATTGTCATTTCCTGTGGGATCCTGGCATGCGTGTTGAAAACATTGTCCCAGAAAGCCAAGAGGTCCCGTTTTCCCTCACTTATTGACTTGCAGTGCTCTGCCCAATATTGGGAATGACTGAGAGGGAAAGAGAAAAAAACAAACAGGACCAAAACCGAAAGAGCAAAACCTCTCTGTCAAGTTGCTCAGCTGGCAGCAGACCTCAGGCCACGTTCTCGCCCTGAATCCGTGAGGTGCAACTTATTTCCCATTGTGCTGAATACGATTGCTGGCAGTTGTGGAAAGATGCAACGCGGAGGGTGTAATCCTGGCAGATAAATGTATCGTTACCTGTTTCAGCATGTGGGAAATTAATTGAGCGATTCGTTTTGTAGTTATTAAAGTGTTAACAGTTTTCCTTAACGAGGCATATTTGACATATTGCTCATGGCTGCCTTCAGATATTTCAGCTCTTGTAATTTTGGTCCAAAGGAAATAATTTATTTCTTGGCTCTTTTTTTGTTTTGTTTTTTGTTTTTGTTAAAAGATTCCAGAGACAGCTGCATCCCCAAAACCAACAAAGAACAACAAATGAGCTGCCTATAATACCTTGGGTTCTTGCCCCTCTTACATTTCTCACCTTCACATTCACAGACACTTTATAAACTAGGTCAGAATTTCTTCTGCTGTCATTGTCATTGACATGGGCAGCTCTGTTGTCACTGGAAATCTGAAGGGGTTCCAGATACCGTATTGGAGTGGGGCTCTCTGTGTGTGTCCACCATGGTTCTGGGGTTCCTTGCCTACAGAGGGAAGGGAGCGCTGGCTTATTCTGCAGTTCCATAATTCAAGCCTGGAGACCTTCATCGGGCTGCCCAAGTCACCCGCTAGGAATTGCTGGAGCTTTTCCTGTGTGTTTGACCACAGAGCCCACATTCTCCATCTGATTTATTACCCCGGAGCAGGGAGCTAAACTGTTTTTCATGCACCTCTGGGTTCAAACAGAACCTCATCGGAGGCCTAGATGAAGACAGCGGGAGAAAGCAGGGCTGTTCTGTTGGAGCAGAGATGGCGGCAGGATCAGGGGTTGGTGGGGAGGGGGAGCTCTGGCATCCTCCCCAGTCTTTGAAAGCAAATGGGACTGGCTCCTTAAAATCGGTAATAGCTGGTTCTCTGAGTCATTAGCAACTTAAGCAGAAATGCTCTTCAAAGCCCCACATTAGTTTCTAGTCAATTATAGAATTAGCTCATGTTTGTAATTGACTCTCACATCTTTATTAACGGCATTAAGCTTTACAGTAGGCACGGATTGAGGAGAAGCGGAGGCACTCTGCGAAAGCGTGAGGATCTTCGGTGGTTACCTTTTTGTGGTCACATGATCTCCAAACTGGACTGGACTTCAGTAATCACCTGGTCTGAGATCTCATTTACTGGGTGAAGGAATAGGGAGAAGATGGAGTGTCCTTAGGTGCCCAGAGCCCCCTGAGGCAGACTAGGATTAGAACCCCGGGATGTGGGACCAGAACCCTGGAATATGGGATTAGAACTCTGGGATGTGGGACCAGAACCTAGATGTGGGATCAGAACCCTGATGTGGGACCAGAACCTAGGGATGTGGGCTTCCACTTAAGTGTTCTATTTGCACCATGATCCTTCAAGGGCGCCAGAGGATTTCTCTGGCTTCCTGGCCTGATAACAAACTGTAAGCCTCTCTTGATGGCAGGCAGTTCCCTATTGTCTGTTTTCAGAGATGCTCACCAGGACTTTTCTTGCAGCTAGAGAGAGGCCAAATGAGCTCCTTGCTGAATTAATAATGTTAAAAAGGCTGGTTCTCGCCTGCTCACAGTATATACAGACATGTGTTTGTTCCTATGCAGGTGTGTATATACGCTTTCCATCTCTGTGTATATATACATATGTATGTTCTGGGAGGTATGTGTATGCCTGGATTCGGCTCCTAAGTGGAGAGCAATTTCCTCCCTGTGAATTGCGACGCTATGCTGAGCGCACTGGGTGAAGACCTATTTTTCATAACAGCGTCAGACTCTCAAGTTGGCTCCTGTCCTTTCCAAGGCGGCGGCCCGTTGTGCTTATTCAGCAGGAGGCTCTGATGGATGATCAAGGGGGCCGTGATTTGGGGAGCTGTTTTCATTTTATTCCTGACATAACGTATTTGGGAGGATGGAAAATGCCTCTCCCATCACAGCCCGTGCCATGGAGGTAGGGAACAGGCAGCGTGGGCTCTTGGCTAATGCAAATGCAGACTCATCCAGGATCTAATAAGCCCCGAGGTCCCGGAGGTTTGATTTGGTACCTGGCAGGCCCTGGCACTTGAGTGCGAGCTCTCTCTTGCTCTCTCTCAGCTGACACAGTTCTTCATCCCTGCCTTTGGCTTTTGTTGTTTAAAAGCCACCTTCTGTCTGAGCTCTGATTGTTCTATAGAAGGCTGCTATCATTCATTAGGGAGTGATAGTTAATGCTACAATGGGCTCTTCTAGACCCTCAAGTGTGTGTGTGTGTGTGTGTGTGTGTGTGTGTGTATGTTGTTAGTTAATGGACTTACAGCAGCTAGGCTTTGTTCATTTCCCAGAATTATAAAGAAAATATGTATCTTTGTCCAATATTGGCCATTGAATCATGCCATTGTCCATGCAGAGAGCACCAAGCTGGGCACAGAGAAGGCTGAGGCCCTGCAAAGAGCGGCTTCTGTAATGACCAGTCCGTGACCCCCTCGCCACACGAGAAACACAGATCAAAGTGGTGCAGGGGCCTGTCCAGGAGGGCATGCATGGCGGACACTCCAGCCCTGCACATCAGAGAGACGGCTCAAGGATTCGACAGTCAGAATTGCTTAATTATGTCCTGGCTTTGTAATTATTCATCCCTGTTCTGGCAAAGAGCACAGTTGTCATTTCTCTGACATAATTATTTAAAGCTGAGCCCTCTTGTTTACAGGCACAGGCATGAAGTTGGCTACCAACTATTTAATCTCCAGGACCTTATGGGAGCAACGGGGGGAGTAACTACAGGGGCAGCTGGACTGAGAATCACAGCCCACTTTAGAAAGTGTTCTAACATGTGTATTTTTGCTTATAATCATGGCCATTCTCTTATAGGTAAGATATGGAAACAGGTGTGTCCATGAGTGCAGATCGGTCCTTGAAAATATGTCAGCCTGTCTTTATGCAGGCATGCGTGGGTTTCCTAGCATGTGTAGTTTGTGTATTTGTGTAGTGTTTTATAGTTTGCATACGTGTCTGTGTATCTTTGGGTATTTGGGGTGTATAGTGTGTGTGTTTATAAGTGAGAGGAATGGGTGAGGGAGGAAGACTGTTTCATTAAAGGAATAAACTTCTGAATACCTGTGCCTTCCATAAATCTTTTCTATTCTCTTCCTTAAACTGAAAGTTGAACGCTATTCCGGTCTGAGGATTTACCTGCTGTCGGCTCTGTGAGGGCTGGGGCTTTTCTGTTCCACTCTCATGTCTGCGGTGCCTGGTCTATAGCAGAGACTCGGCCAATTCTCCTCCCAAGAATAAACCGTGGACAGAACCTGCTGGAAGATCCATCATGAAAGGTGGTCCCGTGTTTGTTGTTGCTTGACTGTGGTCCTCTGGAAAGGGGGCCTCTGCCTTAAGGAACATTAACCACCTGAATCTGTGTGTTGGCAGAACAGACAGAATCTGGGCTACATAGTTGTTTTTCCAAAGGATTTACCTGGTATTTGTTATGACAGCAAAACCTCTAGCTGCCGTGATCACTGGGCCTCGGCTTCTTCACTGGGTGGCATTGCTGGGGAGGCTTTTTTGCACTGCTCACGTTCTCTGAGTCCTTCTCTCAGAGTCCACTTGGTCCTCATAGGGCTTTTAGGAAAGAAAAGTAGCTTTTCTGAGAAAACATGTTGGGGCGCTCCACAGTCTGTGTACAATTAAAATGAGATTTCCCCTCTCTTAGCTGTTATTGGTTTCTGTGTGTTTGTTTTGTGTGTGTGTTTTGTTTTGTTTTTGTCTTATCATAAAGGAGCACTGCCTAGTGCAGTGATGGCGAACCTATGACACGCGTGTCAGAGGTGACACGCGAACTCATTTTTTTGGTTGATTTTTCTTTCTTAAATGGCACTTAAATATATAAAATAAATATCAAAAATATAAGTCTTTGTTTTACTATGGTTGCAAATATCAAAA